ATCTGCATTTGTAGCTATTAATAATATGGTATTGTATAATATAAAGAACACTGGATTAGGAGTCAGGAGACCTGGGCTCTGGTTCTAGCTCTGACATTAACTGAATTATGCAACCTTTTAAAGGTATTCTAATCTCTTTTGGTCTCAGATTCTTCATTTGTAAAATGAAACAAACCTAAGACTTACTTAAGCTCTAACATTCTATAAATAAAAACTGATGATTTATACCATGAATTCATAAAGCTGTTGAAATAACTATCCCAAATAACTAAAAAATACTGGTAGGATAGGAGTTTCTTTTAAAAAGTTAACAAGCGATTCTTAAATGAAAACCCAGGGTCAAAAAATTTTAATCAACATATATCATTAAAATCAATTCTCTCAACCCCATCCACCAATCTCTAGTCCCTTCTTATTATTCACTCCCCTCTACCTCCAGCCCCATATCAGAAAATAATTATGAGAATTCAGGGATGTCACAGCTGAATCACAGTTAAGGTATGTCATCAAAACCTATCCAAAGCCTTTGTGGAAATACTCTAGGATTATAGTTTTTTCTTCATTTTTGAAATACTTCTTTTCACAAGGAGTATACCCTGGTGTCCTGGCTTTGAGACTTGTATTTAAAGAAAAACATGCTTTGTTTTTTATTTCTTTCTCTTCTCAGCTCCTGACATTATGATTTTAAGCACTTAGTATCCATAAATTCTAAAGTGTTGTGAAAGACTGATGGTTTGATTTTACATGGAATGTACCATCCTTTTTGAAGTCCTACATCATTTTGTTTATTAGTTAACCACCGAAACATTATGAAGCCTTAACTAGCCTATTATCAGAGCCTGTTCACTATCATGAAAACTCTTTGTCACTGGCTTCCGTCACACCTTGTATCTGATTAACACACTATAGGATAACACAGAGCAACATAGATCTGCTTTGTGTTCTAACATAACTGATGGAAAACAGATTTTCCTTTTTCCTTTAATGTGGCAGCCCCCTAATTGAGACTGTAATATGGTTTATTTAATGTAATTTTTCATACAAAATTAAAGCAAGTCTGGAGTAATTTAGTTGCTCATTAAAGTTACGGTGGTAGCTGCTAACAAGACACTTGTTATATCTTAAAAAATATTTATTCCAGTAATATCGATAGACATACACATAATTTAACATACATAATAAAGTTGTTGATTTTTATGCACATACTATTTATTTCTCAATAAGACTGCCCCAAGTGTTGACCTTTAGTCTTGACCACAAAATAAAAGAAATAACTAAATAAAATGTATTTAAGTAAGAAATCATAATTTTTTTTTCATACTATGTGTGGGTTCTTTTAAGTCCAACTGTTGCCAATTAAAAAAAAACAAAGTAACATGCATAACAGGTAGTAAACACACACATTTATGTATAAAATTATGTGTGTATATGCTTAAATTCTAACAGGTTGGAAAAATATCCTAAATGTCTGCCTTTTGGTTTATGCAATATAAAAATGAACTATAAAAGAGGGTTAACTAAATTTATCTCATTAAACCCAATTAGACTATATGGGAAACAAAAATCAAACTCACACTAGGAAATAAAAAAATTTACCAAGACTGCAAAACAAGCAAGAACCAGTTCTGCTTGGTCTGGAAAGAGAAGATTTTAGAAATTTCTGCCAACAATGCACTTGAAAATCACTACTCCCACATCCAACTTGCATGCCAATTAAAAGTGACCAGCATTTACCCATGCCCTGCTCTTGAAAGTTTGAGTTCCAACGCTAACCCTAACCCTATAAAACCTTCTCTGTAACTTCTTTTCAAGATGTTGTAAGATACTTTTTAAAGTGCTCTCCCTAACTGGCAAGATTATTAATAAGTCCACCTTTTCTCTCTGACACAAAGATAACTCTGCCTGTGTTATCTCTGCAGAGATCATAACAACGGGTGATGTAGAAGCTACATTTAAAGCTACATTGGTTTCTTTCATTTTAATAAACCAGCCTTATTAAGTACAATTTTGTCTGTCTGGAATGAAGGAAGCACCTACTTTTCCAAGTTTAGAATATTAGAGTTTGCTATTAATTCCAGATATTAAAATAAAAACAATCTGCCCATGATCATAATTAAGAGTTATTAAAAAAGGAAGAGGTACCCTTCAAAATCTCAGTGACACAAACCTATGTCATTACTAAATCATACACTGGCTAGAAAGATGACAGAAATCAGTCTTTCACCAGAGAACCTGGTTATATCCCTTTTCCTGTAAACACCCTGTAGATACAGTGTGCCGTTACTACAAATAATCTAGTGATAGGCCATGTAGTAGTATTGCTTCTGGAACGCCAGTTCACATGTTTACAGAATAGTATCTCAGGAGTTCTCTGAGGTCTAGATGGTATTTTCATATTCAAGGAACTTTGTACGGTTGAGTTTTGTATTCTCAGGGTCTTTCTTAGTGTTTGGCACATAATAGGTGCTTAATAAACATGTATTAAATGTCTGACAAACCAGACATATCAGGGGAGCATTTTTGAAGTTCTCAAATACTTCATACAAAGCTGAGGATGTACTGATGGATACAAATCTACATGAGTTTTTAGAAGTTCTCTAGATTGGAGGGGTAGGTGATGTTCTTCCCTTCATGATTCCCATGATTGCCTTCATGCAAGAGAAAGAGGCCATAGTCAACTGACTTATAATTCCCTTGGGAGACCAACTAGCTATAGGCTTCTCTCTTCTTGCCTCCCTGCTCCTCTTTGCACCTACACCATTCCCTGCCTCCCCAAACTACAAGTAACATAGTCACACAGGTGACAATGTGCTGATGAGGCCACAGAGACTGTCTCATGTAAACAAGTGATGTAATCCTCCTTGGTACCCAGGGTACTGCCACCGCACATGTTTCAATTAATCAGTTGAGGGCTTGGGCCCAACTAAATTAAACAAATCTTCACTAGTATAGTATTTGCATAATTTGGGGGACAAGTACTTTACTCCAGAAAGTATATTTCCCCAAGGCTTGCAAGGCATCTAATTTTTCTTAGTATTATTCTGCACTGTCTGTCTTCAGTGGCAAATAAGTTTGTTTTTTTAAAGGTAAATTGTTTTAAGCTAAGAATATTCCCATTCTGTCTATATATTTTTTGGATTTTTTATTATTATAGAACACAGTCAGTCTGAGAATACTAGGACATCATTATCTAGAGGTAAAAAGAATTTCAAGGGATCATCCACTCCTCTCCTAAGCAGGTTTCTAATAATTTAAAAAGTTTGTTATTTAGCCATTACTAATGCTAACTGAACAAAAACTTCACATTCTCCCTTGATGGTCTTTTTAGTGAGCACCATTTCAATGCAGCGATGGAGGCAGAGGCCAGAATTTTCATAAGTTTAAAGTGCAGAAATGAAGGAAGTAAAATATAGACAACTGTTTGGAAACTTTGGTACTAGAAAGAAGGAGAGCTAAGACAGTATCTAGAAGAGAAAAGAGACACAGGGTCGGGGGTGACTCCAGTTTAAGATGAGAGACTTAAGCCCAGAGTTTAGAAATTATTTGAAATAAAATTATTTTGTAATAAATACATTTGTATTGGAACTATCAACTTACATTCTAACCCACATACACTTAATATGTTAATCTAAACATTGTTATCTTCTAGCTACCTTTCCTAGACAGAAGGTAGATAAAAAGTATGCTAAATATAATGCATAACAGAATGACAACTGTCTCCTTTCTTTGTTGCTTCAAGTAAGATAATCATATATGGAACCATAAGAAGTTTCTTGTTCTTATACTATATACTTTATATACAACAATGGCACTGTGATTAGAAAATAGTACATGAGCCATGAAATTATTCTCTAGGCATATTAAATATTCTATATTCATAAGGCCTGTGATCAGTGACCTATGTGTGAAATATTTTCGTAGAATGAGGATTTAATATGTACAGTTTCTCTATTCTGACTTAGAAATCAAAGCTAAAATGTCAACGTATCCATTTAGTTCTACACCAGTAATGAGATACTTAGTGAAATCCAAAAAACAGATAACAAATTAAGATGAATTTCTGAAATAAAATGTGAGAAAGTGACAATAAAGTTCCTAATGGTGATTGTCTAGTTTCATGATTATATCACTAGCAGAAAACCCAACTTAGTGGATTTCCAACTAAGTTATTAATTGATTTAAAAAAAATGTTATTCTGATCTGTTTAAAAAGCTAAAGTTAAACTTTTAAAACTACTGAGTAGGCTACATTCAATAAGCTTTCTAAAAGTGAGCCAAATCCAGTTTGAAAAAGAAAGCAACCTGGTTGTGCGTAGCAGTATATACCATATATAAAAACATACTTAAAATAATCGAGTATCTTGTACATCCCTGGTACAAGGCCCAAATCCAGGCAGAAGACTGTGGTAGGCAGCAAAATTGCTGGCAATAAGTTCTGCGTGGTTCACAAGTTTCTAACTCAACACTTAGATCATCTCTTTGATCATATCCCTCTAGTCATGTATCCTTTAAAAACCTCCAAAACTATGAATAATATTGAGATTTTTGTATTTCCCATCATTTCAAAGCAACTTAAACGGCAACTGTATGTATAAAATAAAACTATCAATTAACTGGAAAAAATAGCTGATACAAGATTTGATTTATTAAAAAAATTTAAGGGCCACACCACAAAATTGATTGTTTTGACAGAACTGTCTTCCAACTCCCCACTCCTATACAAAAATTTATCTGAAAAACAAGTAACTCTGTGATGATATGTAGATCAGAACTCTGAATACCTATAAAATCTCTTTAAGTAAGGGGTCGATGACTTAAAAGTTGAAAGCTAAAGAACTTACTAATGTTTAAAAAGTAAATTTGTTATCATTGTATATCCTGAATCTTACCAAAATACAAATTTGGGTTTACACTGAATGCATTGTTTAAAATAGGTTTACAATGTCTTTTTCCCCCAAGATGAAGTCAATTATACTTTGTGTAGAAAAAATAATTACTTACCGCTATAATATCTAATGTATTATCACAGACCTTTCGGATTTCATTATTCTTATCATGCATCAGGTCTATGAGATATGCTGGAGCCTCTGAATAAAAATGGTTAAAGATACAAACTACATTTGATATTGTGGCTAGTCAATAATACTAGAAAAATCTCATATTTTTCTAAATCTAAATGCTAAATGGAAATTTAACTCAAATTTTAAAATAAAACCATTAATACAAGATGACTAGAAACACTTAATATTTCATTTGTTTAAAAAAACAGGGATAGTAGGGACATAAAAAAGAGAAAAATCTAGATAAAAATGGGTAAGGAAAACAGTCAGTAAATCTCAGAAAGTACAAGACCACATTTGTGAATACATGAGGATCATGAACATAAATAAAGAGGAAGCTCTATAGTTGCGTAGCTATAAATGCTTCTTCATCTATCCTGCTCTCCTAAAAATTCAGGAAAACTAATTTCATACAAAACTAACAAGAGAGATTCATGGTCAAAAAGAGAAGGCATGATAAAACATTTTCACATAAAAGAAAGCTGCAACCTAATATTTCAAAAGAGATAAATATATTTTAAAAAACAGTATATATATACACATATATATATATACACATATATATATATATACACACACACACAAAAGTGAAATTATTATATTGGATAGCAAATAACATGGAAAATAGAAGTGGAGATAATAGACTGTCAAATAGAAAGATATACTCCTTTAGAACTTGGTGACAATGCATGATGAAATTTAGGTTTGCATCCCGAAAGAAAAAAAAATGGAATGTATAATTACAAATAAGTAAGAGAGAAGGGACAGAATGAAGCAAACTCAAATTAATAAAGAAACCTTGATGAATCTAAAAGAGGAAGTGAAGAAAAACATTGTGATCTCGCATCAATACTATCAATTGGTCTTAGTTAAAACAATTTGAAAACAGAGTCCACAAATTTCTACTAAGAAACTCTAGCACACATACACAAGTACATACCATTCTTTGTATCACTGATTACACCCCCAAAATTTTATCACACAGTATTATGACTAGCTAGTGGCAAAGTGATGACTTAACTCATTAGTGTTACTTACTACTTAAATTGTTGTTTTTTAAAAATAGATTTAGGGGACCCAAGTACAGTTTTGCTACATGGCTATATTGCATAGTGGTTCTTACTATTTTTTTTTTTAGGGATACAAAAGGTATATTTAAAAATGTAGAAAAAATATACAGAATAATGTATTTGTGCATTCTGAAACTCATTTTTAAGAAAATATGTAAAAAATATGTATTGACTGCCTCTTTTCTCCACTGGAATATAAGTTCCACTAGGGCAGAGACTTTGCCTATCATATTCACTATAGTACCCTAGGTTTTAGATCATAACAAGTGCTCAGTAAATTTTTATTTAATGAATAAATAATCATCTACATACTTCACATGGTTTTGTGAGAATAAAAATTATTAGAAAAATATTAAAAATTCTCAAGGGGAATCTAAAATAATCTAGACAAATGTGGATTATAATCTTCCCTCAGCAGCCATGGGAGACTGGTTCTAGGATCCCCCAATGATGCCAAAATCCACAGATGCTTAAGTCTCTTATATAAACTGGTGTAGTATCTGCATATGGCCTATGCTCATCCTCCCGTATACTTTAAATCCTTCCTAGATTACTTACAATACTTAATAAAATATAAATGCTAAGTAAATAGTTGTTATACCATATTTTCTGTTTTTTATTGTTGCATTTCTATTCTCTATTAGAATGCTTTTTGAATAAATTTAATCTATGGATAGTTAAATCAGCAGATGAGGAACCCCCAAATAAGGAGGGTCAGCTGTATTTTATTTCCCATACTGCAATTGTTGAGATTATATAAAAATATAATCAGCATTAGTTCTCAATTCTTATGTGATTGAGTCATGGTGTGAGTCAGTTTAATATTTTAAACATCTGAATATAAATGATATATTTATCTAAAATAAGTCTACACTAGCTATCTCATATGTCAAGCTTTCTGTTCAAATTATATCAACTAATACTGATCGAACTTTCCAACAAAAAGAAAAGGAATAAAATCTTGCCTAATAGATTTTTTTTTATTTTAAATATTCATATTGGATTCATAGGGAGAATCACAATAAAATGCTAAAGGTTATGGTGAAATAAAATATTTCAATAATTTTTAATATGTAATACATTGTAACATGACAGATTTAAATGCCATTGACATCAACAAAAATTGTGTTTTTTGAACTCCAAAACATTTTTAAAATTTATTATTTTTCAGCTTTTTTTTTTTTTAAGAGACAGAGCCTCGTTCTGTCATCAAGGCTGGAGTGCAATGGCGTGATCATAGCTCACTGGAGCCTCAAATTCCTGGGCTCAAGTGATCTTCCTACCTCAGCCTCCCAGGTAGCTGAGACTATAAGCATGCTCCACCATGCCTGGCTTAGAAAACATTTCTGTGTTTTGTATTTTGGAAAAGCACTTCAGTGATCTTTATCCAATTTTAAGACACAAAGTTTTTATAAAAATTTTAACTCAGCAGATCTTTATCTCCCTGTTGCACCATTATCAACATGTTATAATCTTCAGGACAACTATTCAAAAAGTATTGACTCCAGATTCAGTGACATAAAACAGAAATTAAACTTGGGGTAAAATGCAAAGAAAGTTACACTGAAAAGAAAGGTCAAATAGGAATTCTCTTAATTCTGTGGGCTCTGATAATAAGGTACTAAGTATACATTTTAAACAGACTTCCCAAAACAGAGGCAGTAACACTTATTCACTGTGTGCAGGTACTTGGTAGGTACTTTAAATACTTCACTTTTTAGTCCTCACAAAAAACCCTATGAGATGACCTGTAAATAGGGTTGTCTCTCAAAGAAGTTACCTAGAAAAACTACATTTTCATTTTACTATTTTCTGTAGTGGCTTCTATAGTTATGTAAATTTTAAGTAATTCTACACATAAAATACACTTTCAGAGACTCTCAACCCAAAAAAGCACATTAAAGGTTCCAAGAAGACCTTGTAGCAAGAAAACTTGTTAACTTTAACTCAGTGTTTCCCAAACTTATTTACTATCAGAGAACCTTTTTTTTTTCACTAAGCAGCTATTAATACTTAAGGATTATGTTCCATGGAATACAGCTGGGCAAAAATGAATTTACTCCAATTATTTTAACACTGTTCAAAAGTGTATTTGGAATTTATCTTTCTGGGAAAGTCAGTTTATAAACTACATTAAAAATATTTATTCATGCCTGTAATCCTAGCACTTTGGGAGGCCAAGGTGGGCGGATCACGAGGTCAAGAGATCAAGACCATCCTGGCTAACACAGTGAAATCCCATCTCTACTAAAAATACAAAAAATTAGCCGGGCGTGGTGGCAGGCCCCTGTAGTCCCAGCTACTCGGGAGGCTGAGGCAGGAGAATGGCGTGAACCCCGGAGGTGGAGCTGGCAGTGAGCTGAGATTGTGCCACTGCACTCTAACCTGGGCGACAGAGCGAGACTCAATCCAAAAAAAAAATTATTGCTTTCTGTACTCTTAGCTGTTAAGGCAGAACAGTATTTGTATTTTGATAGCCCATATTAGCATTTCTCAAATTAGACTTGCTATTTATCAGACTTGACTCTTAGAAACTCTATATGGTTCCAGAATTTTTAATTTTGTTTTGAGATAGGGTCTCCCTCTGCCACCCAGGCTGGAATGCAGTGGCAAAATCATAGCTTACTGCCGCCTTGACCTCTTAGGCTCAAGTGATAATTCCTGCTTCGGTGTCCTGAGTAGCTGGGACTACAGGCATGCATCACCGTGTCCAGCTCATTTTTTATCTTTTTATTTTTAGTAGAGATGAGGTCTCACTATGTTGCCCAGGCTGGTCGCAAACACCTGAGCTCAAGTGATGCTCCCACCTCAGGTTCCCAAAGTGCTGGGATTACAGGCATGAGCTACTGTGCCTGGCCAATCACACTGGATTATAATTTTATATTTCTTGTATATTATACCTGTCTATCTCTCCAACTAAACTATAAACTCCCTGAGGTCAAGGACTTTCTTATATATCTAACACATAAGCCAGTATCTGTTTAGATGGTCAAAGCTTGAGAAATGTGTGAATAAATGAATGTTTAATTATATATAGTAAAAGAGTTAGCAGATACCAAAATTTTCAGCTTAAGAGGCTGTGTAGATGACAATGTTATTATTCACAATGAATACAGATGGCAGGACTGTTCTGCTTATCAGGAGATGATGTTACCAATATTGAGTACCCTTTGGATGCAAGAATGATAAACTACCAGGTACTAAGTACCTCTGTGTATTGGGAACTATTACAGACAATTTAAATCCATTAGTACTTACAACAATTCTACAAGGTACGAGGTCTTTTTATTTTAACAATGTTACGGGCATTTTTAAGGTATATGATTGTATCCTAGGGAGGTTAAGTAACTTTCCAAGGTCCTGCAGCTTTGTAAGTAGCAAAAGGTAATTAAAATTACGGCTATTTGATTTACAAAGATCTCTACACTACAGCATGCTATGCCCCTTTAGGTAGGTGGAAGATAACCAAGTGGCAGTTAGCAACAAATGCCTGGGGCTCAAGATAGGGGTTATCAAGATTAAATAGTTAGTATATAGTTGGTAGCTGAACTCATGGGAATAGATGTGGTTTCTCACGTAGAGTAAATAAGATAAGATTAGAAAAGGACCAAGGATAGTCCTAGAAACCTCTGATACTTAAGGTATGTTAATAGAGAAGGAAGTTCTGATTTGTTTGCTAAGTTTCTTAGGAATCACAACCTGACAAGTTAATAAAATTGTTCTCATTATATTCTACCTATATACTGATTTGGGGTCAACAGCTTCCATGGAAAATAGGTTATCTTGTAAATTTATCTCAAAACTTAGTGTTTTCAGCATTATTTCAACATTTGCCAAAAAAACAAACAAAAAACCCCAAAAACCTAAAGATGCATCTTTTCTGAATATGTGAAATATTGTTATCTACTGTAAACACTGAAAGGATACGTGTTTCCTTGATTATGACGTCTCTTGTGGCTTGGTGGAAAACCATCTGGTAGAAGACATAAATTATCTGACATACAAATTCATCATCTTCCTGTTGAGCTGTAAATAAACAAAAAATTCAAATAAAGAATACTATGTTTATATACCAAATTTAAAATAATTGAGGGGAATAATATCGAATGAGAAAAACTAAAAGTGATAAGGAGGTAAGTAAGCAGAAATGGATTAAAGTAACTTCTATGTTCCTAATGTAAAATGGTAACAGTTATCACCACTTGTTTTATCCATCATAAGAATTCTTTAAACAATTCTAATTTGTAAAATAAACCTGGTTCTATTTTGTCTTTATAATGTTGACTTCGCAGGAGAAAAATGATTCTTAAAAATTATCATGCCTTCTAAACTCTAAGTTTTTGGTAGAAATTGAACTATTATAAAAAGGTATTTCCTTTTGTTGAATAATGTTCAGAAAGTTAAACTTTACAGATTGCATGAAATAATAAGTAATTTAGTTTCCATCTAATTAATTATAATAGTAAAAAAGTTACATAATCATAAAGGCTAATTAATAAATCTTTAATATCATACAAAGAGTAATTTACATAACAGCTGATGTCCACCGATTAGTATGTAATGGAAAAAGCATAATTGCTTATAGAAATCTAACCTTAAGTAATGATTATGAAATTAGATTTAATAGTATAGTTTGCTATCAACTCTTGGTAAAAGTTCAATGACATTTTAGAAACAGAGTTTCAGGTCAACAGAGTATCAAACCAGTTGTGTAGAATAAATTGTGGGTCCCTTAAAGTTCAATTTGTCCCAAATCATCTCCCTCACTAACTTGCCAAAGTACTACTCTCCCAAACGATTGGGCTAAATTTCTCACTATTAATTAATATCTTGGTATACAGTATTCCCTCACTTAATACCAAAGGCTTTAGTCTTGAAAATCCATATATTTCTTAAAAAGAATATTATAAAGCCTCTGCCTGTGACAATCTCATGTCAGAGAACACCAAAACCATAGTAAAACACTCTGAGCTGGCTGTGTCAGATCACTTTACGAATATCTCAGCTCTCTTGATTATAATCACTATGGGACAGTAATTCCAGGATGCAGGTCATTTTGCTTCAACTTTCTTCAGCTCTCCACAAAATCTTCATTCTCACTCTGTCAACTACATGTCTTTACTTTCACCTCCCAACTACTTAGTCTTTCTTTTAATTATTTGTGATCTGACTGTGAGAAGACTGTATCAAAGTAAACACAAATATGTTACAGTTTTGAGAAGTATACTTCAAATATTGGGGCATTATCTCTAGATGACTTATTAAAATGAATTATATTAAGGAACTTACAAATTAAATTTAAAAAAAACTCAAAAGAGAAAAATGTGCAAGAGGCTTAAATAGGCACATCTTTTCATTGGCTATCCCTAAATAATCAATAAACATAAACAGGTGCTCAACTTCATTAGTCATTAGGGAAATACAAATTAAAATCACAATGAAATACCAGTATGATGGCTACAATTGAAAGGACTGACAATGCCCAGTATTGGAGGTGATGTAGAAAAATTGCAGCTCTCTTACATTACTGGTAAGAATGAAAACTGGCACAACCACAGATTCACACAGTTTACTAAGGCCAAACATATATACAAACTCTGTGACCCAGCCATTCTACTCCTATGAGTGAACCTAATGGAAATGAGTACATAAGTGCACCAAATGAAAGGTTTCAAAATGTTCATAGGAGCATTATTTATAATAGTCCTCCTCCTCACAAAAACCTAACTCTACTATCCATCAATAGTAGAAAGGATAAATGGTGGTATATTTATATAATAAAATATTACATACAATAAAAATGAACAAACTTTTGTATACAACATAGATGAATGTCACAAATATAAGGCAGAACAAAACAAACTAGATTCCACTTAAATAATAAAGTTCAAAACCAAGCAAAACTAATCTAGTGGTGACAAAATAAACTTATCTTTTGTTTCAAACTAACCACTTTGAAGGAGGTGGTAATGACTGAGAGGAGGGAGAAGAGGCATTTCTAAGGTACTGGTAATGTTTTATTTTCTTACATTAGTGATAACAACATGGGTGTGCTTACACTGAAAATACATTGAGCTATACTTACAATTTATGTATGTTATTATATATTCTAAAAGTCTATTAAAATTAATACAAAATGCATATATATTATGCCTAGTACAAGATGAACTGAGATGAGAGTATCTTCTTCAGGGATCTCATGTAGCATTTTTAACTTCTATACTATTGGCTAGCTATGATGTGTAAGATCCTAGAGAACTTGGCCCTAATAAGATTCAGATAAATTTTGTATGCAATATGGAGAAGAATGAGCCCTGCCCCTTAAGAGCAATATAAATGCAAGGGGAAAACTCTAGGCCTACACTGTCAAATATTATAGCCATAAACCACTGCAGCTAATTAAATTAATTCAAAAATTCAAGTTATCAGTTGTGACAGCCACATTTCAAGTGTTCTACAGCTACATGTGTCGGACACCACACATATAAAACATTTTCATCAACTAAGAAAGTTCAGAGAACTCAGAGGACAATAAATTCTGGATCTAGAAGGGAATATTACATTTAGAATCAGCTTCCAAATGAACCTTCCAACTTAGAAATCAAGTTTTAAAAAATAAGATTTCTACAAGAGAAGAGATCCAATTCAAACCAACACAAATCTCAACAGAAAGAAGTGATATAGCCGGGCGTGGCTGCTCAAGCCTGTAATCCCAACACTTTGGGAGGCCGAGGTGGGCGGATCACCTGAGGTCGGGAGTTCGAGACCAGCCTGACCAACATGGAGAAACCCCATCTCTACTAAAAATACAAAATCAGCTGGGTGTGGTGGCGCATGCCTGTAATCCCAGCTACTCAGGAGGCTGAGCTAGGAGAATTGCTTGAACCTGGGAGGCGGAGGTTGCGTTGAGCCGAGATCACACCATTGCATTCCAGCCTGGACAACAAGAGCAAAACTACGTCTCAAAAAAACAAAACAAAACAAACAAACAAAAAGAAGTGATATGATACAGTGGTCCTCCCTTATCTGTGGTTTTTCTTTCCATGGTTTTAGTTAACTGTAGTCAACCATGGTCAAAAATATTAAATGAAAAATTCTAGAAATAATTCATAAGTTTTAAACTATGCACAATTCTGAATAGTGTGATGTAATTTCCCACTGTTCCACTCCATCCCATCCATGACATGAATCATCCCTTTGTCCAGTGTATCCAGGATGTACATGCACGCCACCTGCCTATTAGTCCCTTAGTAGCCATCTCAATTATCAGGTCAACTAGCACAGTATTGCCATGCTTGTATTCAAGTAACCTTTATTTCATTTAATAATGGCTCCAAAGTATAAGAGTAGTGATACTAAGCATATTGTTATAATTATTCTGTTTAATTATTAGTTATGGTTTTGAATCTCTTACTGTGCCTAATTTATAAATTAAACTTTATCATTGGTATGTTTAGAAAAAAATAGTATATACACGATTTGTTAGTATCTTTAGTTTCAGGCATCTGCTGGGGGTCTTGGAATGTATTCCCCTTGATTAAGTTGTGACTACTATATTAGTTTTTCAAGGTTGGTGAGGAGAGTACTTCTGTAAAATTGGTCCTGAACTGCTTTATAGCAACATTCTTAACTTTGAAAGCTAAAGATCTTTGATATTACTGTATCCAATCCCAGTCAGTAGTATATTTAATTCATTTTTCTTGATTATATAAGTTGCTATAAAACAATGTAATGAGAAAAACAGATTCAAACTCTGCATTTTATATTTAAATATTTAAATCAATAAGCTGTTAAATCAATAAGACATTAACATGAAAATGCATTAATGTTATTTACCATTTAGCAATTCAATGAGTGCAGGGATTATCCCAGATTTGGCTAGCAATGCAGCACAAGAGTCATCCATGGATACAGTTCCAATCATTATAACCACTTCTAAAACAAGATCATCTTCTGCAGCACCTAGTGAAGTCAAGCCATAGAAAGTTTTCACTGAAATGTCCTGATCCAAATTCATTTAAGAGTATCAAAATGTAAATACACAGAAAGGATACCGAAAGCTATTAAATCAAGTCATATGAATCCTTGATATGCTATAAATTTGTCCTTTTTCCAAATTTCCATGTTTGCTGATGACAGTTTGTGATAGTGGGGGGTAAGGGGGGGCAGCAGAAAAGCAGAAATAAGCCTTTGAGAGTGCAACTGAATGACAACATAGACACAGAAAATAAAAGACTCATCTGAATGCCTCAAAGACCTTTGTGCGTGTGTATGTATATGTAGAGGGATGGTATTTGGTAATTTTAAAGAGACAGAATAAAAAAAATTACCAAAAGACCGCAAGAAAGGTAGAATAGGAAACAGAAGCTAATACTAAGAAAACACACTGTAAGGAAAAAGAGAGTATATATATAAGAGGAGATCCAGTGACTACCTTTCTGGGAGAAAAGAGCTGTGAGAAGAAATGGTTTTTCCTAACATAATAATAAAATAGTCACACAAAACTGCTCTAGCAGCCTTATCCATAACAGAAAGAAATAACTTAGTGATTATGCAAAAGTGAAATACTTAGCACAAACCTGGTTTTAGTTTATCCTTGAGGTATGGAACCAACTTATATTCTTTAAGAACCAATTCCCAGTCTAAGTCTGGAATGGTCAAGTTTGCAAGAGTTCCCAAACATTCAATCACAAACTCCTCTTCCTCATCATTAGAGATCTGGGCTGCAAGGTCCCCAACATAATCCTGAAGAAAACAGAATTTTAGTATACATTTAAATTATTTTTTATTTAATCTCATAATTAACCCACAGGAATCTAACAATTGAACCCACTGAAAGAAAAAATCAATATCAAATGTGATTTTCTTGTTTTAATAATCTTGGGCTAAATTGCTAAAGAAGCCTATGGTGAACTGGTTTAAGGCAAGAAGACTGTAGTGGGGTGGAGGGATTAGGGGTAAGGGTCACAAAACAAAAACAACATTGAAACGTAGGTTGAGATTTCTAGGTGCTAAACTAACAAAGAAGTTGATAACATAAGAGCAATTTGGATTATAAATTAATATTTGACGAGAATCCAGTTAAGAGTTGTATTTCCAAATGTAGCAATTTCAACTCCCAGTCTATTTTAATAGAAAGCCAAAATGATACTTACAATAAACAGATTTTTAGTTGGTCCATCATGCTGAGAAATGTTTCTAATCATTTTCATCAGCAATGGATCCTTAAACTTCAGAGCCCTCTTCATGAGCATCTTCAGCCCATTTCCTGAAACAGAAAAGTCCCCCAATAAAATTAAGGTTAACTTAAGTTTAATGATTTTTTGTTTAGTTCTCAAAAAAAGCCACAACTATTTATATCTAGTAAAATGCACAACTCTTAAGGGTACAATTTGATGAATTTAGATGCAACCCATACCATATATCAACATATAGAGTATTTTCATTCCCTCTAGAAAGTTCACTTGTGCCCCTTCCCAGTCAATCGTGTTCCCCAAATATAATCACTTTTCCTCTTCCCTGTCTCATTTTTAAACACATATAAGTTTTGCCTGATACAGAACCTCATATAAATAGAATCATACTGTATGTGTTCTTCTGTGTCTACAATTTCTACTATAAATGTTAAAAACAAAAGTACTTTTGACTCAGAAAAATTGTACTTCTGGGAATTTATCCTAACAACATAAAAATGAAAATGTGTAAAGATTCAGAGAATGAGTAATCACTATAGCACTGTTTGTAACAGAAAAGAGGTGGCAACGAACTATATTCATAATAGTGAAGTAAACTATGGCAAAATTCTTTAATAGACAATTTTGCAGTTATTAACAAATATGCTTTATAAAAGCATTTAAACACACAGAATATTATTTCATGATATTACTAATTTTAAAAGAATATATCATGATATACAGACAATCACATTTTTATTTAAAAATATGCAGAACTATTACACTAAAATCTTACCTATGATTATCTGTGGATGGTAGGAATAAAGATTCAAATCTTTTCCTTTTTGCTCATTTTTGCTTTTTATAACAAACACATACTACTTTTCAAATAAGGCAAAAATTATTGGGCAGAGGCTGAAACATCATAATGTATGACAGGCTGTTCTACCAAGATATTATAGAAATAATCTAATACATTTGTATTTTATTACCTCATATTGTAATAGACTGCTTTGCAAAAAAAAGTTTCATTTTATCTAGAAAATGTTTTAAAAATCAAATTTCAGTGAAGGCTAACTCATCATGGTTTCTAAAATGTTACCAGAAGGTAAGTGTCTGCATTCATGATGTAAGAATATTCTATCTGACCTTTAAGGATTATAGCTATGAAGAAATTATGTGAAAACAGGACTTACATAATCATTATAATTTTTAATTCTTTATTATCTATTTTCCATCATATGCCAAATACCATATGCTAAAAACGTTACCTACACTCAAAGGCACTGACCTTCACAGATAAGCTGTACATTTCTTTTGTTAGCAGCAAGATTAATGCAGAAAGAAATGAGTTCCAAGTCAATTCGTTCATCTGAACATTCAAACAGCATCTTCATTAACTAGCAAGAAGCACAAGGCACATTTTAGTCAAGAAACAAAACAAAAAACCAAACATAGAAGCAATTATTTTTATCATAATGTATTATCTTAGACTGTACACTGGACATAATATTATTAGTTATGTTTCAACACATAAAACTGGCAGGCATTTACTGTTCAACAACTGGATGAATAAACAGTTAATGAACTCTTAGATACTCAGCATTAAGTATAAACTTCTACGTACAGTGGAGAATATAAGTGAAGAATTAGATAAAACATCTGTCCTTAAATAATTAAACATTGTTTGGAAGCAGAGCATTCCAAGCAAAGAAAATAGCTTATGCAAAGGTCACAATGCAGGAAAAAACAGTACTCTTTGAAGAACTAAAAGAAAGCAAGCATTGTTGGTGAAAGGGAAACAACAGTTTTAAGAGATAAGAAGGCAAAAACCAGATCATGCAGGGTCTTGAAGTACATGTTAAAGATTTTGGCCTTCGTGCTAAGGATGATGGGAAGCTACTAAAAGCTTCTAAATAGGAAAGTGTCAGGATAAAATTGGTGTCTCAAAAAGATTTAGCCAGTGTAAAAAATAGAATAAAATTCCAAGAAAATATGGGGAACCATGTAGGATGCTAGAGGAAAAGTCCAAGTGAGAAGATGGGTGTCTGAACTAGGTAGAGATAAAAAGATTGATTAGATATATATTTAGAAAAGAGAACCAAAATGGAATGGAGTAACTGACTAGATGTTACAGTTAAAGCAAAGGAGGAGTCAAAGATGACTTCCAGGTTTATGCGCTGAGCAATGACATACATGGTGATGCCAACATCTACCAAAAAGGAGAAACTAGGGTCGAAAAAAACTTTAAAGGAAAGATGGTAATTTTGGTTTTAGATATGTTGAGTTTAAGCTGCTCATGTGGTAGTCTAGTGCAGATATTCAGTAGGAAGTCATAAACGCAGGCCTGAGTTTAGAAGAAATGTCTGGACTGGAGGTAGAATTTTAGGAACTGGCATATATGGTTGAAAACTGAAGTTGCAGGCTAAATCCAATCACTTGGGCATGGGTATAAAATGAGAAAAGAACTTTTTGAGTGATAAGAGAAAAAGGAGGAGGGTGTGAAAAACAGCAGACAAAAAGGTAAGAAGGAAAAGGTAGGCTACCTATGCCATTTAGCAGTAATCTAGATTTGTCATAATGAGAGATAGCTGCTATAATAAAGGACAAATGAACAAATTTCATGCTATGTTTTAGAGAAGATAGTCTTCTATTATTGTCGAATCAGCAAATTAACTTAGTGTATAGTATGTAAAGAGAATTTTCTCTCAGCCCAAACTGTTAACAACAAATAGAAGTTATTCCTAAAATTTATAGTATAAAAACTTCTTATGTTTTATCTCAGGGCAATACCTTTTTAGAACAACATGCCTTCATGAATCCAACACAGCGAATAATAAATATTTATTTATTTTAGACCACTTTCTGTTAAATCTTGTTTTGATTACTCTTAGTTCAAGATGACTTCTGCATTTCAAAAATGATATGTGGTCAATATACAAAAATCAATCATATTTTTATGTGTTAGCAATGAACAGCTGAAAACCAAAATTAAATTTGGTTAAATTAAATAAAAAACACAATATCACTAGAATTGTTAGGTATAATTCTAAGCAAATACACTGATCTGTATGCTGAAAATTACAAAACACTGTAGTAGGTGAATGGCTGGCATGTATCATGTGCTCTCCCTGAGGGCAGATATTTAACCACAAATATTACCACTGATGGCATCTCTGGGTAAGAATCATTAATACTTACTAATGCCACAGAATAAAAAAAGATTCAAGGGCAAAAGTAAAATAATCTTAATTTACTGGATATATATTTAACAGATTTCACTACCTATCTGCCCAATTAAAATTAAATTACAAATAAAATTGCCAATAAAAATTAAATTACAAATTACCAAAAATGTAGGTGACAATCCTCTAATTAATTGCTATGTTTTCTAAACTGTAATTAAAAACCCACTATAGATTTTTTTCAAACTGAGATTTGGTTACATTGAAGCAATGTTTCAAGCTAAGTATTTATGGCTAACAAAAATTATTTACTTCAAATCAACCTTTGTGGTATGAAAATTAGCCTTAAACACAGGGCTACAGGTTATTATTTCAGAAGGTAAATTTTCTTTAAAGTAATTTCCATATTAAATTCTACCTAGAAATAAATAATCAGAAACTAGATTTTTAGAAAATAATGCATGGCTCGAAAACTTACTCAACTCCCATTCCGCATATCAAGCTAAATTAGGACTAAATATAAATGGAATGCATAATGATATAGAATTAGTTTTTCATAACAAGAGAAATAAACATTTCAATTTTAATTAAAGCTTTCAAATTTAAAAAAGCAATAGTTTAGTTCAAACTCCACATGAAAGAGTATGTCTTTAATTTGATTGCTATGATGGCACTTCAAAAGTAAGTGTAATTGCTGACAACTAGAAAATATTAAAACTAGATTTGTTCTGTTTTAACTATGTCCATTGTCATCTTTTACTAATTTATCAGAAAAGCACTAAAAGGGCTTCAGTCTGTGCGATGAAGAGGCAATAGTGTTCAATCAGACAAGTCCCATATTGAGTATCAGATACCAAAGACCCACGACTGAAATCACTGTGTCTAGACTCTCTGGCACCTGACTTCACTTATTTACCAGTGACCAGAGGCCAACCCCCACAGCTCTCTGTATTCACATATAACTCTACCACCCCCATCCCCTACCCAAACATCTTTGAATGATTATACCAGAACTTTGCATGCCTCCGGAATCTTTTCTGACTGGCTACTCCCTAACTCTCCTGTTTGAAGTGATGCTCTGGTTTCTGAACTTCAGCAGATAATGGCAGGCAAGAGCAAAGGGGGCTGTCAGAAAGGACGTTTACCAGCATTCAGCTAAAAAGAAGCATGTAGATCAAAGGGGGCCATATAGGACAACTGCGGTGGAAAACATGTGGATCACTATGAAGATTCTTGCATGCTGTTCTAGGATAAAATATTAAATAACACCATGACATCACTACCTAACCATGTACTTTCATTGGCCATTCTATTACCAATAAATACTTTTATAAGCATCTGGATGGCATTTGCACCCATTTAAACAAAACATGCATCTCAGAGGTCTAAATAACAATGAACTGTTAATGTGTACTTTTAACTATTATTAGAATACAACCATTAACTCCCGGTTATCCTCAAGTATGCTTACCTGAAACAATCTACCCACTGAGACCGTTAAGATCATGTATAAAGACTTGACCTGGCCCCTAAATTTTACAGAACAGTGATACAATAGGGTAAGAAAATTAGAGTACATTAGATATCTAGAGGCAATAAAGTATGAAGGAAGTAAAGCAATATAATATTGGGAGAGATTATGAGACATGTTGTATATATAATCACCCACTCCAGATGCTAAATATTTTCTAAAAGTAAATTCTAATCTCATTATAGGTTTATTCTATAAAACACATGCGATAGGCAGTATTTAAAATGGACTATAAATGGGTCAAAATGGTGAGAAAGATTTTACTAAGAATATCTTACTTTCAAATAGTTAAATTTATAAAGCTCCTTTAATATATGTAATTAATGAAGATGATTATACTCAATTTCTTTTTCATCATTGAAATGAATATGAATTACTACTAAGCCACTGCTTTCCTACCTTCAAAGTCATGTTACTGGCAATACATGAGGATTTTTACCAAGCAAAAATTAATATGCATAATTACAAAAGAACAGAATATTATATTAACTCTAAGATATGCCAACCGGGGTTATGACTTTAGTAAGTTAATCAGTGGCTGATTAAACTCATGAGTGAGTTTAAAGCCTTACTGATATTATAAACATTACTTTGAGTAGCCAATACCTCTAAAGGAGTACCTTTTTAATTCCTGAAGGAAACTTGGACATTTCATTTAATTTCTGACTTGTTTTCCATCATTCTTTTATTTTGCAATTAACTTGGCACTGGGTGGCAATAAAACCATGTCAACTTTTCTCCTTAAATATGTAAAATTTGGCACTATAAAGTAAAAGTTATAGGCTGGATACCATATTTGAAACAAATAAATTGTACAGTATTATTTGTTTTTCTCAAAATACTAGCTCATATAGAAGCTTCAGGATGTTTACAACACAATTTGGTAACACAACCTTATTCCCTAAAGGGCTGAAATTTCAAAAAGAAAAAAATGGGAAAAAAAAAACATCGAAAATCATTGACCTCCTAAATTTGGAAAATGTTGTTCACAAAATACAGATTACACATGTTCTGAAAACTTCACTGCATACATGTTTGATGTTAGAAAACTGTCTGGTAAGAAAATATGCATGGATGTTGTTCCTGAAAAGGTATGGGAGAATTTTCTGTATACAAAGTTTTAAATTGCAATAATAACAATATCTAAAAAGTAACCTAGACAGACTCTTATTTCTGATTCTTTCATTTAAAATAAAATTTTACATTTTATATTTGAGATTATACATTCTAGAAGAACAGGATAACTCCAAATTCAAAATTGTATAAATAAGTTTCCTATTTCTCCTTGGATTGCATATATTTCACTTTTATTTAATGTTATTCTCTTTAAAATTTAAATCTGGATAAAAACAGTCAATCTCGGCAAGAATATTATTATTTTTTGGCTGCTTTCCAGTTCATATCCTGTGGTCAATGAAGTTCTAACTCAAAATGGAATCGGAAAAGGAACACCCTTTGAAACTGCAAAGCAGAAACCTTTAGAACATATGGAGTGAGACTGTAGTAAATCACCTGTAATCTCCCTTTGACATGGCTACTCTTTTATTGAAAACTGGTTTGACAAAGAGTTTGATTACACTTTGCACTGAGTATAGTCTGACATGCATTATCTCTGTAAGACACCCTGCCTTGCTAGATAAGATATGCTATATATTCTTTCAGGGATGTCTATTTCCTATAAACAAGCATAATTAGTTTATCCCCTGATATAAAAGTCTAAGAAATTACCCTAGAGAGTTTATCAATTTTTTAAATACATGTAGGGGAAGTGTTAAAATTCTCGAATAGCAAATTCATTTTTAGCACTGTTTTATCTAATTTGGAATGAATGAAAGAATAGTCAATTAGAATCAATAAAAAGAAAAGTTATGGTCTATTTTTTACTACATGTTATTTTTCAAGTAACATGCATTTAATAATTCTTTATAGATGAAGAAGGACTTATGTAGTAGGAGTCAAGAGGAATTACTTCCATAAGGATGATTTATTCATATTCTTCTAACATGTTTTTAAATGTATATTTATTGTATATCATATATCCTACAATTTTTGTTTCAGAAAACTACTTTATAAAAAATAATGTAATATTAAAAATCAGCCCAACTAGTGTTACAATCATCATAATTCAAATTAGTGGAAGGTAGTTTAATAAAGATTAATGACACAACAGTGATCCTATGAATGCTAATTCCCTAAGAGTAAAATTGTTACTATGTACAGAATCTCTACCCTTATAACATACAGTCTATGTTACAAAAAAATCAATAAACTCCTTCAAGACATTTAGGACAGATATTTATTTAGGTCTATTTAGACCTAACGTATGATACATATCTAGCCACTGAATCACAGCAAAAAACTTTCTTGAGAGCAGTTGTATAAAATAAAAGAATTTTGATGAAACATTTTCCCATCAGAGAATGCAAAGCAATTAAATCTATTAATATTAAACATAAACAAAATTAAAGGACACGTGACAAGCTTAAGCAATATTTGTAACATAAAATTAAAATAGTTATTATATACATTGATCTTATTTAATAATAAAAATATTAACAAATCAATTAAAAAATTGGGAAGGCCCATTTTGATGGCTCACACTTGCAATCCCAGCACTTTGGGAGGACAAGCAGGGAGGATTACTTAAAGCCAGGAGTTTGAGACTGTCCTGGGCAAGAAAGCCCAACCCTGTCTGTACAAAAAATAAAATAAAAAAAATTAAAAAATTAACTAGTCATGGTGGTGCACACCTGTAGTCCTAGCTACCTATGAGGCTGAGGCAGGAGGATTGCTTGAGCCTAGGTATTTTAAGGCTCCAGTGAGCTATGACTGTACCACTGAACTTTAGCCTGGGTAATAGAGCAAGATCCTGTCTCAAAAAAATAAATAAATAAATAAAAAGGAAGGAAGGAAGGAAGGAAGGACGGACAGACAGACAGACTGGCAAGAGACATGAATAATCTGTAACAGAATATGGATAATAAACACATGAAAAAATGTTCAACCTCACCAATATTCATGGAAATGCAAACAAAAAGAAATAATGAACCACCACATATTTAGAAGAACAATAATATCCAGTGTTGTTAAAAATTAAATGTTAGCTGGAAATAAAAACTTATGTTTTCTTAGAAGATATTTTGGCTAAAACAAAAACACAAGTTTTCATTATCTTTTGACTTAGCTATCCTACTTTTAGGAATTTAAGCTAAAGAAACATTCAGAGATGTGGAGAAGCATTTACAAATATGATATCTCACATCATTTTCATTTGCTTACATGTATTTTTACATGATAAATTGGAAAAAACCTAAACATACAATTTAACAATATTTAAATTATGGTATATCCATGTAATAGAATGTTATACAACTATTAAAAATAATTTTTGAAGAATGTTCAGTGACATGAGTATAATTATGATATATTAATAGAGCAATATGTAAATATTATATATACCATATAATCTCAATACATTATTTTTTAAGTATGTAGAGAGAAGTGTACCAAAGTATTAAATAGTTATCTCTACGTTTGGGATAAAGGAAAGTTATTTTAGTTTTTATACAGTTCTGTACTTCCTCAAATTTCTATAATAAATTTGTAGTATTAAGAACTTTTTAAGAGAGAAAATCTTGACAAATCAAGAGAAAAGAGTAAAAAAATATATATTTCTTAAATGTTTTTCTTAAAACACTTAAACCACTTACCTGTGGTATACAGTCAGTGTACGCAAACATTGATTTAAAGCGGTCATCCATGCTTATGTGGTAAAGAACACACATTGCTATTTGTTTGTAGTTGTCATTGCCTAGGAATAAAACATCACGGTGATGATGCCATAAACACATATTTTTTTATACAGCACACTCAATGTACTACAACTTAAACTACTGAATAAAATCCTTATACAAACTTAATCTGAAAAATATTCTGAGCTATTTCAAATCCAAAGTTTAGAGCAAGCATATTTATGTTATATGTGAAACATCACTAATTTCCAAGACAGAATGTCTATTTTCCAAGGTATAGTTTTGAAAAAGACAATTAACCCTAATAATTAATTATTTTCATGAGTCCAATATAAAAACAATTGGGTCATTAGCCTCCTCATCTTTACTGTTTTATCAAAATATGTGATTAATATAGTTCACTGACAGTGGTGATGTATTAGAAATAGTAAATAAAAGAGCATATTTCTATGAACCAGAAACTGAAAATATCATCCAAATGATGAAAGAAGTAAAGTAGTAGTTATAACAAAAAAATTAAATATATGATCATAAAATGCTATAGGCTATAACATAACCTAAATATAGTATGAAGAATGTCTCAGAACTTCTAAGGTAAGATTATTCTGGTTTTATATGCCATGAAACTGAAAAAAAGTGAATACATATCAAGATTTGAAAAACAAAATGGGACTTCAATATATCATTTAATCCTAACTGCTTTCAGACAGAATATATTTTAAGGACCTACTTATGATCTCAAAGTCAATGATAAAACTAGAGCCAGAAAAGTTGCTTAACTAAAAATTTTATCCAAAAAACAATATCCTTTTTGAAAATTCTGGGCTACGAGAAATCCTGAAGATATTCCCAAGTAGTTAGAAATTCTTTAGAGGAAATAAACTGGTATTTTCTTTTTCTTTTTTCTTTTTTTTTTTGATACGAAGTCTCGCTCTGTCACCCAGGTTAGAGTGCAGTGGTATGATCTTGGCTCACTGCAACCTCTGCCTCCCAGGTTCAAGGTATTCTCCTGCCTCAGCCTCCTGAGTAGCTGGGATTCAGGCACTTACCACCATGCCTGGCTAATTTTTTTTGTATTTTTAGTAGAGACGGGGTTTCACCATATTGACCAGGCTGGTCTCGAACTCCTGACCTCATGATCTGCCCACCTTGGCCTCCCTAAGTGCTGAGATTATAGGTGTTAGCCACCACACCCGGCCCTAAACTGGTATTCTCACAAGGCCTAGCGTAGAACATGGAAATTGTTCAATAAGTATCTGCTGATTGATTCTATTTTTAACATTTAAAGATAAAAGCTGAAAAAATAAATTCATTTAGTCAAAGATAGAAATTACTAGTTCTAAAAGGGGTTCAGAATTCGAGACAGATAAGATTTGAGACAGAAGTATTCAGTTTCAGGAGGTTTTTGAAGGATCATGCCTGTAATCCCAGCACTTTGAGAGGCTGAGGCAAGTGGATTGCTTGAGGTCAGGAATTTGAGGCCAGCCTGGCCAACATGGAAACCCTGTCTTTACTAAAAATATAAAAATTAGCTGGATGTGGTGGTGTGCGTCTGTAGTACCAGGTACTAGAGAGGCTGAGGCAGGAGAATCGCTTATACCCGGGAGGTGGAGGTTGCAGTGAGCCGAGATCATGCCACTGCAAGCCAGCCTGGGCAACAGAGTAAGAACTCTGTCTCAAAAAAAAAAAAAAAAAAAAGTAAGCAAAAAATATAGTGACCCTCTATCTCCTGAATTTACTTCGAATTTCCTTACCATTTGATATATTTATCTAACATATAACCTCCAGGAAAGCAAGGACTTTATTCACTGCATTATCCCCAGATGCAAGAATAGTACCTAGCACAGAGAAGGTATTTAATAATTGTTGATTGGTTAATAATAATCATTTATTAAACAGTTACTACATATCAAGAGACATGCTAAACAGACTGCATGGCATTGAATCTCAAAACAATCTGTCAAATAGGTCTTATCATCCCTATGTTTCAGATGAGAAATCTGAAGTTTACAGAAAAATAAATATTTGCTACACAGCCTTGTAAGTGGTTGAGCGGGGATTTAAACACAGGTCTCTCTGATTCCCAAATCTTTACCAGGTAATGTTACAATACCACTCTCAAACATTTTTTTCCCTCATTTGATGTCTTTGGTATTCAACATTTTTATATCACAAGGTAAAACTGTTTTCTATATAAGATATTATCAGGTATAAAAGACTGATAGACACTGATACATGAGAGAATTAAACTTGTTTTAAAAATATACTACTTTTTAAATCTAGGCTTTTAGATTTTCAAAATTGTTAGGCTAAAGTCTATTTCCTATTGCTTACAATAGCAGTAACAACAACTCCTTGGGATAAGATAAAAACAATGTATGTTTTTCAGATGAACAGACACTAGTCAGCATTTTCACCTTAAATAAAATCTATAAATTCACTAATTCAACTACTTGGAATACAACATATACAGGAAACACATTTTATTTATATGAACTAATATTTATTTCATCTATTTTTAATTTTTCCCTATAGCATTATTTACAGAAAAATTAAATTTATAGAAAATTTACAGAATAGAGAGCCCAAGTCAAATCATTTAAGGTAAATTTCGCATTTCTTCTATTGTTTGAAGAGCTTTACTACAAAATTTATAAAGAAGAGAGAAGCTGAATTAGAGTCAGAGATAGGCTCTAAGGATAACGACTATTGACTAAGGTTAAAATAAAGCTAAGATAAAGTAATGTGGGAGAAAAAAACAATTAAAGTCTTTGTTTAGGGGTTAGAATTTTATTTGGAGGGAAGTCGGTAAAAATTGTGAAATCGCTCCAAGTAAGAGAAAAGTGCAGACAAAATAAATGTTCTCAACTCCAACAACTTTGTCCTCGAGTTTGGAGCAATCTAAACATGTAAGATTTATCAATTTTAATGTTAGATTTTAACAGACTACACTTTTATACTGTTGAAGGCATCAATTTATACTTATTCTAGTATAAAGCATATTTGCCATAGCAAAACTTAACATTTAAACAGGTTCTCATGATATGTAGGTTAAACATGAAAAATTCCAACTTTATTCTCCAAGAAGATAGGAATCCCTTAGTCTTGGTCAGACTGTATCTCACGTTATTTTTTTCCCCTGGAAATTGAGATATTTGAAAATCTTTTCAAACAGTTTTAAAGCAAACTCTAACATTCTGAAGGAAAGTCTTTCTTTCCCTGTGATTCCAGTTATTTTCTATGTCATTCAGCTGTGGATAAGTCCTAGTCCTACTTAATTTTTACAAAATATTTGAAGATATTTTCTCTATGTAATGGATTCACTGAAAAGTAGGATTCCAAGTAATACAACTTATTAAATGGTAAAAGAAACAAAGAGAAATCAATAACCAATATAAAAGATTCTTCAATAACAAAGTAAATAATCAAACATTAAAATTCCATGTGAGGATAGGAAGGAAACAGGAAACTATTCTATACTCTAGGAGAATCTGTCTGCTGTTTATGTCAATGAAAAAATTCTAAAAAGCAATGTTCTGAGGTGGCACATCATTCATGTAAGGTGAGAGGAAGGGAAGGAAAGACTCACCTTCAAAAACAGGTATTACATTAAAAGAACAAGAAATTCCTGAACATTGGGAGAAGCTAAAATAATTAAAAGAATAACAAGGGAAATTCTCTAATTAATTTTATATGCATGTATGTATACATATAGCTTGCGTGTGTGTGTGTGTGTGTGTGTGTGTGTGTGTGTGTAGCTTCCAAAGGCCAACTCAGGATAAAGTGTATCTGTTAGAATAGAAGGTACAGAGAAGAGTCCTAAAATTATAATAATTTCTACTGGCAGATAAATAATATAAATAAGAAGCAGTTCTCAGATATAACAATTTATATTAATTTTATATGGCAAAACTAAATGTCTAATTTCCAAAAATAGGATGATTCATTTTGCAGCCAGTCCTAACTCTGCTCTTATGTACTTTCTCATTTTCTTTTTCTCTTCACACTTATGGCCAAAGGTGAAAGCTCCTTACAGTTCTCCCATATCTTCCTACTTCTCTCTCTGTGATCCTCTATTAAAAAAACTCTGAATATGTTTCCAATTTCCTATAATATTTATCTAAAATGATCATCATATCCAAAAGTTTGCTAAAAACTAAAGGACTGAAGTTAAGAGAAGCTCTAGGGACATAAGGCTATGGACAGTTAATCTTTCTTATACCACAATTCTTTGAGAGAAGGTTAAAGAGAAAGGGTTAAACAAACAATGGTATTTTTCCTATTGCATGTTCAACATAGTTTTTGTCATTTATACCTTACAAGTAATTACAGGGGTCGGTATTGTCTTTGATTCAGAGATGAGGCAATGACATTCACTAAGGCTATGACCCTTTCAAAAGGAAACACAGATGTGAATCTGAGATTCAAACCTAGGTCTGACTATAAAGCGCATGCATGCACTTTTAAGCAAGCCTTCCAGGAGGCAGCAGAAAGAGGGAAAACAATAATGCCAAATAAATGTAAGTTATCATTATCATTCCTTAGGGCAAAGTACAGGAAGGAGATGCACCTAGAGGGACTCTGTAGGATCTGCTGGATCTGGGACTCTTGGGGAAAAGGGTAAGAAGATTGGCAGTGGTGAAGATAAGAGATGAAATGGAGAAATGCAATCAGATATTTCTCAGAGGGCCTGTGCCCAGATACAGCAGGTTCTAATGGATGAAATAAGTTCTTCATGGGGCAAACTGCATTATCCCCCACGTGGTTTTGAGGACTAGACCTACAGCAGCCTAAGTTCTGAAACTCACTCTCACTAAATTGGACAATAACTGCTATCAATCTGTGATTTTATGAGAGAAACAAGGGGCTAGAAGCTTAAAATGTAGGTAGACTGATAAAAGTTATACTCTAACATTGGTTGACAGCTCAGGCTCTGGAGGCAGACTGCTCGGGTTCAATCTGTGGCTCTTCCACTCATTAGCTATACAGCCTTGTGAATGTTATTTAAATTCTGTGTTTCAGTTTCATCACCTGTAAAAATGGGATAATAACTGTACCT